GTCGTACGGTCACCTATTAGTTGCTAACGTCCCTGTACATTTGGCAATCATACTACATCTCCTTATTTTCATATCGGACTGTTTTATGCGGGCAGAAAAAGAAACTGCTGACAGGTCCGCTTCTGAAATACACAGGGAAAGGTATTGCTCTTATCGTAACAACCTGTCTTAAAGTTTACCTACGGTTTGATCTGCTCAATGATAACGTGTTAATGAAATAAGAAATTATTTGGAAGTTAAAGTGTCAACTCCCTCAAACAATGTTGCCATTAAGATGATTTAACTGTTTTTTAGCTCACCTGGCCTATAGGGCCTAGTGAACTTTTCTCATCACTTGGCGTCCGTCGTCCGTCGTCGTTAATTTTTATAAAAATCTTCTCCTCTGAAACTACTGAATCAAATTTTACCAAACTTGGCCATAATCATCATTGAGTTATCTTTTTTAAGAAATGTGTCCGATGACCCTGCCCGCCAACCAAGATGGCCGACATGACTAAAAATAGAGCATAGGGGTAAAATGCAAGTTTTGTCTATTATTTTGAAAACTGTTATAAAAAGAGAAATTCTGACGTGGCCAAAACTGTTCAGAATATTGAGCTCTTCCAATTGTTCAGTGACGTCAGAACTGTCAGGCGACTTCTTATAGGAGTTATTGCCCTTAAATGACAAATTTTACCATTTTTTTCATTTTTGCCCTTTATCTTGAAAACTATAATAGATAGAGAGAAACTTTAAGTTGCAAAAATTATAAGCATGACAAGATCTACGAATAAGTACGGATTGTCGAAATCATCATTCGACTCCTAATTGGATGCTTTTTGATGACGATTTTCACCAATTTTTTGCGTTTTTGACTTATATCTTAAAAATTATACTAGATAGATAGAAACTTAAAAAGCAAAAATGATCAGCAAAAAAAAAAAGATATACAGTTAAGACAATATTGAGGAAATTTTCCAACAACTCCTTACTTGAGTTATTTCCCTTTAAAGACGATTTTTACAATTTTGTTTTTTGTTTTTTTGCGTTTTGCATTATATGATCAAAATTATAATAGATAGATAGAAACTTTAAAAACCAAATAAGATCAGCAAGCCAAGATCCAGAAACAAGTCAAATTTTGCCGATATAATTAGTAGACTGTCATAGGAGTGATGGCCCCTAAATAAGGATTTGTGTACCCTCTTTTGTGTTTTAGCAAAATTGAAAGAAGATAGAGAGACAGACAAAATAATCAGCAATACAAGATCAACAAAAGAGAAATTTGTTTCATTAATTCTATTCTTATTTTAAATGTTGGAGAGAGTCCATTGTTGATTATACACATAGACCTAGGTGAGCGACACAGGCTCTTTACAGCCTCTAGTTTAAGTTTTTGAGTGTGTGCCTATCTAATGACGAAATTTTAAGAAAAGTGTTTTGGACGCTCTAAGCTAAGGTGTTTGTTTTCACTTGTAAACGAATACGATACTGCGACCAGAAAACTGCCAGGTTCAATGGTATAAGCAGCTCAATTTGCAAAATACTTCTCTGATACATAATTACTAAATGTGGAGTATTTCTAGACTTATTTGTATTAATTATCTGTATTCCACTTGTAAGGGAAAATGACATTTCTTAATTTTCATGTCCCTTTTGTATCTCTTTTTCATGCTTCTCTAACGTATTCCTCGATTAACTTCATCGAAAGGATGTCTTAATACCTGTCTATGTGAGGAGATAAATGACCAAATAGGACATACAAAGCAAAATACACTTACTAGTAAATGTCAAATTTAAAGAGGGAGTTACCTTAAGTGTCTTGTTTGTTTCTTAATTTATAAACGAAACGTTTAAGAAGTTATGTTATAAATCGTGGTTGTACCAAAACACTATCTATTTAGCTGACGATACTCTCCGGACTAACAATCAAACAACAGTGGTATCGACTCAGTGCTAGTAGATGAAAATATATTTTTTTCAAATTTCGTGCTTCAGAAGCACTTTCATAGATTTACCTTCATTATGTCGATCGCACCAACACATTTAAAATCCTAGAATGTATAAATACCTGACAAAAAGGAACAGAAAAAAAACTTTCTTGATATAGAAAATTGCGTTATCTGAATCGCTATACCTGAATGTTTTAAACACGTTACGATAGAGAAATGTATACGCAGGAGAAATCGAAAAATGACCGTAATTATTAGCATTAACAATGATGTACATGAAGTCATCCTTTTTGTTTTGAGTGTTGGCATGACAAATGCAGTGAGAAATAAACTCATCATATATACCAGGATTGAAATTTTGTATTTGCGCCAGACGCGCGTTTCGTCTACAAAAGACTCATCAGTGACGCTCGAATCAAAAAAGTTAAAAAGGCCAAATAAAGTACGAAAAATTCCTAAAAGTAGTAATATCAAGTATTGTTGAATCTCACTATCTATTCGTGTTTCATCGGTATGACATGACATACACTTTGCTTAACTAATACTGATGGTCTTCATTGGAATACCAATCACAGGACGGTAAAGATTATCTCAAAAGTGAACATAATACTATCAAACAAAGCACTAAAGACTTCCTTTCTTTGCATGTATAATTAGTGAATTTTTAAAAGGTTATTTAACTTAAAAGGGACTGTTATGGCTAAAATCCAGTAACAGCCACATTTGCTGAAGGACAATTGTTTGCACCATAAGTGTAACCAATTACGAATATGAGCGTTCACAAAATGAGCTCAGGTCCCTGAAAATAGGTCAGAAATAACTAATAAAATTGATTTGCACTGTGTATGTGAAATATGATTTACATAAAGACCTTGATATGATCGTTTTCACTTTTGCACGTATTCGTCAAAGAAAAATGAAATTGGAATCTATTTTGCGATGCATGTGTTACCATTTGCTACCTTTAAGATCTTAACAATCAATCAAAAACTTGCAAATTTAAGAAAATTCATATTGGAAAAGTATCTTGAAAAGTTCAGGTATGCATACACAGAGAATTTCACTTGAATTTAAATTCCTGTGAATCTAACGTGAAATTCACACGAATTTAACCTCCAACAAGATTATTCGTGAAACTCACGTGAAATCAGTTCATGTGAGTTTCACGTGAATCTCAAGTGAAACTCACGTGAATTTTAAAAATAACGTCATTCAAATAACATTTAAATTTTCAAATGTAATTGAAATCATGAAAAATACCAGTTTTTGGTTTTGTAAATTTCACGTGAAGAATTCCACGTGAGATCCATATGAATCTCAATTCACGTGAAATTCACATGAACATTTTTTTGTGATTTACATGTATAAGCTCGTTTGAGGTGAATTTCACATGAATTTCACGTAAGATTCATGTGAATTTCACGTCACGTGAGCAAACTTTGCCTGTGTAGTTGGTCTGTAGCAGCTTCAATTCAGTCATTGTTTTAATTTTTGTTAACGATGTTTTGTTCAGTGAAAGTAGCCAAACGACGACAAAACTGTTTAATTGTTTGCCATCTGGAACAAGCGCATATCGCCAGCTTCTTACAATAAATAAAAAAAAAAATGATCGTATTATACAAAAAACATAGTTCAGGAGTATTTAAACATGAAATGTAGGAAAATAACATACTTTTTATTTCCAGATACTAAATGAAGACAGTATTTTGACGGATATAAGTCAATCTATCCAACAAGAAGCTCCGGTACCGTTACGACATTCCTGGTGGTATAATTTGAAGAAATATCTGTATAATTTCTGGAATTTCCTTGATGTTATATCGTATTCCATAACAATTATTGCCATCTGTATTCGATTTTTCAAGTCGACAACTTCAAACAATCTTGCCAGACGCTTTTACAGCATAAGCCTGTTTACAATGTACATGAGATTTCTACATGTCATATTGATGTCAAGGAAACTGGGACCAAAAGTTATCATGATCAAAGAAATGGTATCATATTACATAATAATTATAACCAAGTATTGACGCTTTTTTGCAGTATTAGTACAAGCCAAAATGATTTAGTTACGACAATTTGATATTTTTTTTCAATTTTAATTGGAAAGAAAATTGTCTCTCAGAATTCTCTTTGAGCCACATGAATGCCGATAAGGTGAATTAGATCGGAAGACACAAAGGGTTGACAAGGACATATACATAGTGTCGACTGATTTCTCTCGTACCTACCTACATACATATGAAATTAGTCATTTAGACTTTTTTTTTTTGATGAAATTAAGAAGGTTATTTATGTTCCTGATTAGAAAAAAAGTATATCTAAGTTATTAAGCTACATTGGTACTTTCTATAGATTTGAAGTGTATATTGTTTCATTTAAAGACGTTATTTCAAAAAGCCGCCACGAATGTGAGTTTGGTTTCATCTTAATAACCATATTGAACTTTTAACAACAAACTAAAAGATACTGTACTGATATGAATGTATTAAAAGATTTTTTTTAATTTGCATATAATATTGCATTTCATGAATTTACATCAGGAATTTCAGGGAATTTCAAGTTTTGCAAATAACTTAAAATTTGGAGTCATTTTAATTACTTTTAATCTACATGAGATTATAAAAAAAGGTAACGGTGGTCTTAATATAAAAAATAGACAACACACCATTAGTGACCAAACAACGTGGAGGTTACCATACGGCCTTCAACTACATGTATGAACAAAACGTAAAATCAATAGCGTATAGGCATCTAAATAAGGCATGACAAAATGTGAATCAATTTAACGGAAACAGTCATTTTTATAACAAAACGTTAAACGAAAAGCAAATATGAAAGACAGCAAACAACGTCAACCACTGAATTACAGCTGACTGTTTGCAGGTACATATCAAATGGATCGAGGTTTGTGAGCGCCCAAAACCCTCCTTAACCCGGGATATGTTAATTTATTTTTTTAAATAGAAAAATCAAGATTAACTTACTGTTTTCCTTTTTCATTGACACAAACAAGTGTTAGTTTCAAATTGCGGCATTGACTTCCTATTTTGTTCCTTATATTTTCAGTTAAAGGATCTCTTTCGATTCATTGGAATTTTATTTGTGTTTATGGTCGGTGTTGGGGTACTGTATCATGCAAATATGTACCCAAAACATGTTGATATGTGGAATCAAGCAGGATGGGAATACTGGAGAATATGGAAAATTATTTATCTTCCCTACTGGCAAATATATGGCGATTCATTCTTGGATACCTTCAGTGGTAATTAATATTTTTGTATTTAATGTTGAACGTTTCAAACAGTAGCAGTCATAATACAGACCCATATCAAATTATATTTTGGACAGTTTGATCAATTTCGAGAAGCAGAACTCGCATATATACGTTTTACACATGTTACATTCCATCGTTTGCTAGAGGAACATTCCCAAGAACTTCATTTATTGATTAAGAAATTTAAAAAGAAAACTGAATATTGTCCTTCTATGATTATCGGGTGACGACTCGAGGCACAATCGCCATGGTCTTTTTACAATTTAATATTTACATTTTAATAAGGTATCTTTTATAACTTTGGACGCATAAAATTTATAACGTGTTGTTTTCATTTTTAACTCACCTGGACCAAAGGGCCAAGTGAGCTTTTCTCATCACTTGGCGTCCGTCGTCTGTCGTCCGTCGTCTGTCGTCCGTCGTCGTTAACTTTTTACATTTTGTACTTCTTCTACATAACCACTGAATGAAATGAAACCAAACATAGCATGAATGTTCCTTATGAGGTGCTGACCAAGTTACTTTTTAGCTGATACATCATCCAAGATGGCCGCCAGCGGGGGACTTCGTTTAACATAGGACCATATTGACAATACATACAAATGTCTCCTTTTAGAGAACTACTGAATGGAATAAAATAAAACATGGCATGAATGTTCCTTATGAGGTGCTAACCAAGTGTTGTTACTTTGAAGCCGATGCATCATCCAAAACGGCCACCAGAGAAGGACTTAGTTTGACATAGGACCCTATGGGAAATACATACAAATGTCTTCTTTTAGAGAACCACTGAATGGAATGAAATAAAACATGGCATGAATGTTCCTAATGAGGTGCTGTCCAGGTTTTATAATTTTGTTGGCAATCTATCATCCAATATGGCCGCCAGCGGTGGACTTTCTTTAACATAGGACCCTATTGACAATACATACAAATGTCTTCTTTTAGAGAACCACTGAATGGAATGAAACCAAACATGACATGAATGTTCCTTATTAGATGCTGACCAACAGTTGTTACTTTGAAGCCGATCCAAGATTGCCACCAGAGAGGGACTTAGTTTAACTTAGAACCCTATGGGAAATACATACAAATGTCTTCTTTTAGAGAACCACTAAATGGAATAAAATAAAACATGGTATGAATGTTCCTTATGAGGAGCTGATTAAGTGTTGTAACTTAGTAGGCGATCAATTATCCAGGATGGCCGCCAGCGGGGACTTAGTTTAACATAGGACCCTATGGGAAATACATACAAATGTTTTCTTTTAGAGAACCACTGAATGGAATGAAACCAAACATGGCATGAATGTTCCTAATGAAAAGTTGGCCAAGTGTTGTTACTTTGTAGCCAATCAATCATCAAAGATGGCTGTCAGCGGGGAACTTAGTTTAACAAAGGACCCTATGGACAATACATACAAATGTCTTCCTTTAGAGAACCACTAAATGGAATGAAACCAAACATGGCATGAATGTTCCTTATGAGGTGCTGACCAAGTGTTGTAATTTTGTAGCCAATCAATCATCCAAGATGGCTGCCAGCAGGGAACTCAGTTTAACAAAGGACCCTTTTTGAAATACATACAAAGTCTTCTTTTAAAGAACCACTTAATGGAATGAAACCAAACATGGCATGAATGTTCCTTATGAGGTGCTGACCATGTGTTTTTACTTTGTAGCAAATCCATGAACCAAGATGGCTGTCAACGGGGGACTTAGTTTAACAAAGGACCCTATGTGAAATATATACAAATGTCTTCTTCTAGAAAACCGCTTAATGGATTGAAACCAAACATGGTATGAATGTTTCTTTTGAGGTGCTGACTAAGTGTTGTTACTTTGTAGCTGATTTGTCATCCAAGATGGCTGCCATCAGAGGATTAAGTTTGACATAGAACCCTATGGGAAATACAAACAAATGTGTTCTTCTAGACTACCACTGAATAGAATAAAACCAAACATGGCATGAATGTTCCTAATGAGGTGCTGACCAAGTAATGTTACTTTGTAGCCGAAACCATCATCCTAGATGGCCGCAAGCAGGGGACTTAGTTTAACATAAGACCCTATGATAAATACATAAAAATGCTTCTTCTAGAGGAGCACTAAATGAAAAGAAACCAAACATGGCATAAATGTTCCTTATGACGTGCTGATGAAGACCTTAATACATGTATCTTTATAGATTGAGATATACTGTAAACTGCAATAATATCAAGAAAAGAAGATCTACACACAAGCCAACATGAGCTAACTTGTAAATTGACATCGTGTTGGAGTTATTATCCTTATTAAGTCATTTTCTACAATTTCAATGAATTTATTGGTAATTTCTGTAAACTTTACAAAAGTCTTCTGCTTTTGATTAAACTATGGGGGCAAATATTAAACCAAATTTGGCCACAATCATTATTGGGGTATCTGTTATGATTTTAATATATTTTCACATGATTTATAAAACCAAAGTAGAATCAGGTGAGCGACACAGGCTCTTGAGAGCCTCTAGTTTTTTTAAACCCTTACTTAATATACCTGCATAAATTCTTTATCACCAAATACAGGTTTCATTAAATAATGGTAAAATTTTAAAAATCGGCGAATATACAATTAATACGTAAATAAATAAATAAATCAACATTAATTAGAAAAATAAAACCAGCAACATTTATAGACGAATAATTCCTCAACATAACAACAAAAGAAATAAAAAGAGTAATTCGATAATATCTTTTAAAAACAACAACGTAATAAGTAATCAACAGAAATTTTTTTTCATTAATCATTTGAAAGTTACTTTTTTTTTTTCTATTCTAGCATACCTACATGTATATATTTGTTTTTAATTTAAATTGCATCATCTAGCAGAAAGTGTGTAACTCCTAATATCATACTGGCAAATTAAACGAATCTAAACACGATCTGACAAATCTGAACTTTATGTATTAGGTTTGGTCTGATTTCGCCTAAAACCGTCTGAACAGGTCTTAATCGCACGCCAGAACATTCCGTCTAGTTTATCTTGACATGACTGAACGGACCGGATTTCCTGCTGTTACCATCGATCGGAAAAAGTTTGAAAGTCTGTAAAAGTTTTGACGTTTTTCTCTTGTGGTAAATTTGATCGATTAAGACTTGATCAGACCAAAATGACTGTTTCACACTGAAATCTTGCTACTAGGGTTCACTAGCAAAGAGGGACTTTCTTTCTTTACTATTACAAGTGCTCACATTGGTAAAGAATGATGTAGTTTGAGTGGGCTTGACTTCCATCTCCCGGTAGATGGCACAACGTTGCATTCACAAATACTGTCATAATCTGCCAAGGGTGAAGAGGATGAACGGATGGTAACTTTTGGCTGGCGCAGAGGAAGGGTCAGATTGTAACCCTTTGCTAGGAAATGGCAGGGATCAGATCGTAACCCTTGGCTATCTAAGATGAGTTCTCATATGCTACTGTAAACCATATCATGAAATTGGAACTTTGCGCCAGTGTTGTTTTACAGTTTTTGCAAAGCACAAGCGTTGACTCATTCTGTTGAATTTATTGCATATATTTATCATTTCTGTTAACGTCAGTCTTGAAATTTCTGATTTAGCGCAAAACATATTTTGGAGGAAATACACAGAAATTTATGTATTGAACAAGAGAGGATGTTCGATAAACATCAATGAGACAACACACCAATATAGATTGGTTAAACAGAGAACGAGATACCAAAGGGATTTTTAAATATAAAAATTGTAGATAAACTGAGAACGCAATGGCAAAACAGGAAAAACGACCAAAAAGATAATCAACAGTTCTAGTATACAAAACAAAATATATAAGAAAACAAAAGGTGAGCAACACGGACCCTACCAAAAACCGAAAATGATCTCATGTGCTTCAGAAGGGTTAGTAGATCCTGCTCCACATGTGGCACCCGCCGTGTTGCTAATATTAGTACAAATTTTGTAAAGGTAGTCAACCAAGGGTCACTTCAGGTTTTTAAAAGAAAAAAGTGGTTATACGTCTAACATTTTCCTCAATTTTGTTGTCAGGTAAAGCTTGTATTCTCAAACAAATTATTTTCAGAAAATAGTACAACGCCATGTACCTCAATACAAAGTGAATGGGAAAACAATCCTGATATAGAACGATGTAATCAGTATGATTGGATACTTTTGGTGATTGCCACATTATATATGCTTATATCAAACCTTCTCCTCGTCAATCTTGTGATAGCTTTGTTCAGGTTTGTGACGCTTTGTAATTCAAAAGTAATTGCTAGTTACAAAGTAAAGGCTTCCCAATAATCACCTTGACTAAAATATCGTATACCTCTAATTTTAAATAAAATGTCCTATCGCCTATTACGAAAGCAGTGTATATATGCCTGATTAGTCCAATATTTAGAATTTAGTTCATTTTTTAGATGCTTGATATATACAATCTAAAACAAATTAATAAATTGCAGATATTTGCCATGGTTTGCTTCTAAACGAACCTCAATGCAAATTCCATTACATGTCATGCTTGATAAGTAAATAAATATATATACTAATATCTTAACGAATAGAACAATACTATATATATTTGAATTGACTGCAATATAAAACTAGAAGATGTGGTATGATTACCAATGAGACAACGCTCCACAAGAGACCAAATGACACAGAAATTACCAAATCAATGTCACCGTACGGCCTTCAACAATGAACAAAAACCACACCGCATATACGTTTTATCAGCTATTAAATGCCCCGAAATGAAAGAAAAACATTATGGTATATAATATATACAGCAACAAGCGACAACCACTGAATTACAGGCTGCTGACTTGGGACAGACACATACACAATCTGGCGGGGTAAACTAGTTTGAAGGCGCCCACCCCTTCCCCCCTTAATCTGGGACAGTGGTGTAACAGTACAACATGAGAACAAACTATAAAAATCAGCAGTTAAAAAGGGCTTAACTCATCAGATCGACACGAAGGAGAAATGAATCTAACAAAAATAGAGACCGGACTTGGCAGGGTACTAATACATCCCTACAACAAAAAAGACACTAAATATAGATCTGTGTTAACTCGCAGTTACTGACAACTAGTTCGAAGCCAATAAGAACTAATTAAAAAATCTTGCATCTTAGACAAAAAAATATCAACCAGTACACATCTAATGTTTAAATGCAAATTGATGGGAGACATTGTATATACTTTCAATTTTTAAAGGTTTTTTTTCAAATTTTGTAACTGTTCCTGCTTAAGATTCATTCACAGAAACGTTTAAGTAAAATGTAATTGGATATTGCGTTATATTTGCATTACGATTCATTATTCCATGTCTGCAAGAGCTCGTATTACTGTGGAACCTGTTTACTCACAGCAATTATGTAAACAGAAAACGCACGTGTTTATTACAGTATATAGTTACCGTTATTTTACAACTGTTTAAATCTTCTGTGGTCATTTAAATTTAGCTATCGATTTGAACGGGTCCAGGAAAACTCAGAGAAATTATGGCGATACTTAAGATATGAAGTCATCATGGATTATAAATCAAGAATACCTGCTCCTCTGAATATAATTTTCAGACCACTCAACATGTTGTACAGGTGCTGTAGGAATGACGATGAAAGGAAACAACACAAACCAGGTAAGAAAGGTGGAATTGCGTTAGAAAAATTAATAGTTCTATGCCCACAACTATAGAACATTTCAATTTATTTGTCAAGAGAAAGGTTTGAATTTTCAAATATCTAGTCGTTTTAACAACCTGAGCGGAGTTATCTGACTCGAAACCTTATAACAAACCTTATGGGTCAAATCTTACCAAAAACCTCGTCCCTGCATGATACAAAAGTATAATAGATCGATGGACCATTGCAAATAATATTATTTATGAAATTGTGTGTGATTTTTTTTTTTCTCAATATAGTTGGCAACTTTTCAACGGGACAAGTATCGCAATAATTAGAAATGGTATTTCGACTTATGATAGCAATTGAATTTAAACCCGAATTTAAAACATTTAATGAACAAGTATATAAGTCTCAAATCTACGAAAATCTCTCGAAATCAATTGAAGAATCAGAGCTTCTCTACCGTTCAGCCTTATCTTTCAAATCATAGAAAGAACTATATTTTATTATATGTTAGACTGGCATATGCGCGTCATGTTAATTCGTCTATTTGTCTGATAAAAATGAAATACAAAAATGTCTCCTTCTAGATATTAATCTATTATGTATCCACTTTGAAAATCAAATCTTTCAATGATTTCTATACTACTTTACTCTTTTAACTTAATTGTAACATAAAAGAAACCGAATGAGAGAGGAACAATATCCCAGCGACAAGAACTCAATTATGTATACAAAGGGATAACATGAATTGCCAAAAACTACTACAAAGTACAGCAGACAACATCAACCATCAACGCTTGCCTCATTAGAAAAAAAAACTACAAATGCATAATAAGAAAAACAACTACAAACAATACATGACCAAGATAGACGGCCTTGGAACAGACACAAAAGCCTGTCTTGGTACATAAGGAAATACCTATAACAAGTCAGGAATATGACAGTTGTTTTCCATGTGTTTGAGTGATTTTACCATTTGATAAGGGACTTTGCGTTTTCAATTTTCCTTGGATTTTGGTATTTTTTTTATTTTACTTTTTGGTACGAGCACGAAACGTGATGGGAATAAACCAGTTTTACGGGCGTACAAACCTACCACTGGCAATATATCGCGAATATTTTCTTATCTTATCTTTTCAAAAATACTAATCTGTAGTATATGTAAAGAAAATCAAATTAATGTATTATAATTTGTTTAACTATCTGTCCTATGAACTGAGTGATCGAAAAGTTTTAACAATACTAAACAATACAATTGTTCACTATATAAATAAATGAATGATATTTTCTATGCAGATAGAAGATTGGTGGATCGAATAAATACACTCCAATCTGTGAACGCAATTAATTGCGTGTATAATATTTGAGATGGAAACAGATGGCTGAAAAAGATATTATCATTAATATATATACGCAAAACTTTAAAAAGATTTTACTATACGTGTTATCTATGAAGACCTAGGCTATTTAGAGACTTTTTCTACGTTTTTCACATTCTTTGTATATATTGTTTTTAATTTGCTGATGAAATATATATGTCCTGTAAAACTTTTGATGACTGGATATATTTTGGATTTTTCATCCCAATGATTTTACATAAATCAGCACTGATTAGATTAACATAATATGCAACAGTGCTCGTCTCCTTGACGACTTCTTCTTATTTTTACATTATTCGGATTTCTTCAGAAACTTGTCAAAAATAAGAAGATCAAAGAAGCAAGATCACTTAATTTCACATTCAGATATATTGATGATGTTTTTTCTATTAACCATCCAAACTTTTCTTTTCTGATTGGGTTCCATTAATAAATCCTCCAGAACTATAAATTAAAAAAACAACAGACACGGCTTCCTCCGCCTCATTTTTTAGTCTTATACCTTGAATTTGACATAAGCGGTCATCTTAGTACCAACATGTATGACATAACTTTCCTCCACCTTAGCAGCAATATACCAACTTCACCTGCATATGGGATAAACATTTCCCAATTCATTCGGTATTCAAGAGATTGCAGCTGCTACTCAGACTTTATAAAACGTCATCAGTGTCTGAGCAGAAAGTTGATGAACCAGGGTTTTATCAAAAAACGTCTCGTCCTTCTTCTAAAAAAGTTCATCGGAAGATCCGAAGACCTTGTTGATAATTAATACATGATGGTCTTGAAGTATAAATTCTAGGTATTGACGTTGTTTAGCATCTACATTACGTGTTATAGTGGTTTTTATTTGTCTTTGTATCTTTTTAAACTTTACTTTTCAGTCAATTTTTGGTGATACTTTTGGTGTGGTTTCGGTATTTATACATCCCGCCATTGTATTATTGTCCTATGGTCATTTTTTATATTCTTGTCTTTCATTTTTGCTTATGTACTTTGTCTATAGAGTGTATATATGCCATTTTGTTTTTCTTTGATAAAATAGTTATTTGTGTTTTTATAGTGATTAAGATTATAACACAATGTTTACTGCTGTACCATTTGACAATTTTACTTATGTCTGTTTGTTTTCCTCACACATTGTTGTCAATATAATCGAATTCTATACGACTGTCATAAAAGTGAGAGGTTTAGCTAGCTATTAAACCAGGTTTAATCTACCATTTTCTACATAAGGAAATGCCTGTACCAAGTTAGGAATATGACAGTTGTTTTCCATTCGTTTGATGTGTTTGAGATTTTGATTTTGCCATTTGATAAAGGACTTTCCGTTTTGAATTTTCCTTGAAGTTTGATATTTTTGCTATTTTACTTTTTGCTAAGTTTGACGTTTTTTTCTTTTATTACCATGACGTTGTCATTGTTTCTTTGGCTGGTGAGTTGTTAATGTCCCTTGGTATCTTCTGCCTCATTTTTTATCAATTAAAAGCTGAATAACGTTTACAGCATATGTAAAAAGCATACTTAGGTTTGTGAAGTATTGATTGGATATTAGAACGACACAATCAGACCTGCTTACAGTCCACAGGAAGTGATGTTACCCTCCTCCAGGCACATTGTTTGAAGATAAGCTGATTAGTTCTTGTTTTTACTTCAAATGTCTCATGCTTGTCGAGTTATTTCAGTCTTTGCTTTACCTTGGCGGGTACTGAACCTCGAGCTCCCGCATTCGAACCAAAAGCGTAACCACGAGACCACCGATGATATTTAGTAGACTTTTTACTGTTGTGGTTGTTTTTAATTTAGAATTTTATTTTGTTTGATTGCTTCTAATGTTTTCCATATTTGATTGTTTTGTTAAAGCGTTACTTATTAAGTTTTACTTTAAACAAACTGGAAGTGCACATTACAATGTCATAAGTGTCCGATGGAGACGGTTCTCGGAGAGTTTAAATTGGCCTTTAGATTTTGATGATATTAAACTTTGACCACAAAAGTACTACAATTTGTGCATAGAAATAGTTGTAATAATAAATTATTTGTTTTTGGCATTTCACATAATGAATTATAAAGTTAAGTTAAGACCCTGAGCTATGAATTTTTGTGTTGAAAAGTCAGATTTAGTCCAAATGTTCATAATTTACAACGGATTTTAGCATAGATAGTTTGGTTGTAACCCCTGATCTATTAAACAATTGTTGCGTCGCGTGGTTCAACATTGAAATTGGCACCTTTTGGTAACAGAACATTTTGTATTGTCGGAAAAGGCCATGGGTTTTTTCCTGAAGTTGTTAAGTGAAAACAAGTTGCACGAAATCATCATATTTTGACAAAATATAAAAAAAACTATTTATTTAATTATTTATTTATTTAATTATTTATTTATTTATATGAACATATAAAAATGTATTTATATATTTATTTATTCTTAATATTTCTTCCATGACAAGGTTCAGTCACTCAATTTTTTTCATAATCCTAATGTTTATTCTTTTTTCAAAGATATGTATTCCATATTTGTCAAATATGAACCTTTTTCACATACACTATAAACGAATTTTAGTCTGAAGCGATGATTTTTATTTGAACCGCTCTTAAAAGACAATGAAATATTAAGTCATAATCAGTTTTTCAATCAATTATCAGACTTATCCACTGCGGTATATTAAGTACTATTCAGACAATTCGCGTGCAGTCAATTAAGATCTGTTCAGACTATTCAGTAGTAGTAATCTACCTGTACAGATCAACAACATTCTGAATTGTCTGAAAGACTACTGAACAGTACTGCATTGACTGTAAGCGAATTGTATGAACAGTACTGAATTTACCGCCGTTCATAAATCTGAAAGAATGATCATAACTTAATATATTTTTGTTCATACTTTTCAGATGATGTTAACGTTCATGTGGACCCTATATGTCTTAAAAGACAGGGTGTACATCCTAAATTTTTTTCTCTGAGTACAGACAAACCTGTGCATCTGGAATAATTTTAAGGCATAGCTTGCCCTAGATAAAAAAAAGAATCACATGCATTTTATGTTTTACAAAATTCAAAACTTAAAAGGATTTTACTATGCATTTTTCTTTCGTTCCTACAGAAGGTGCAAAAATATCCAAATTTGGGAAAGAGGTTTGAGAACTTCCCCACAGATTATATTTGAAGTGAACTGTATTGACTGACATGGATAATAGAAGGACAATAGATATCTGACCACAATAGGTAATTTGTTCTGTGTCATTGAGTGGAACATATCAAGTAAAACTCTCAAGTGTTTGTTAATTTAATCAAATTCTGCAGGGACCAAAATAAGTGCACAGCAAAATATAGGTATTTTTTTTTTTTTTTTTTTTTTTACACATTAGATAAATTCGAATGCCTTAAAAATATTCCAGATGCTCAGGTTTGTCTGTACTCAGAGTAAATTTTGAGGTGTAAAAACAGCCTTTTTAGCCATAGGGTCCATATGAATCTTAAGATCAAAATGACCGTTTCATAATAACTTTCGTTTACCAGTGATATAAGCAGCCTTTACGAAATTTAAATTTGAAAGGCAATCCATCCAACATTGTAAACTATTTGAATCTTTGCGGTGATCATGATGTATTTCTAATTTTTACGTACCATGCTACGTCTAGTGTGCTCATTAATGAAAGATGTTAACAATTGAATGTACATTGATTAAAACAATTCGTTTCAATAAGAAGTCAATACATAAATGCTTAATGAATCACTACAAAGAATTATATCACTACATGTTGTAAAGTATATTAGTTGTCAAATTCTTTGTATCGTCTGGCGTACCAAATTATAAGCCTGCTATCTTTGATGAGTGTTTGAATGAATATGAATATGCTTTCTGAATTTCCACATTTTAATACCAAAATTGCAAAATCCCAAACGATTTTTAATGTACTGTAATGTTTATTTTTTAATTTGGATCAATGTCACACTTTATGGGTAAATTAAATAATAAAATTATGAAATGTTTCGCCTTTTTGAATATACGAATTAAGAAAAATTGTTTGAAATCACCAAGCAAAAGGATAATTTATACGAATTGTTGTGGAACGTCACGGGTCAAACTATAGAGAGACAAATCAAGCTTTATAGCTATATATATAAAAAATAAATCAAAGTCAATGTCGCAACTCCTTCGGACAAATTTGAATTAAGACTGTTCGATTATTTTGCAACCTCTGCATGCTTGTTGTGTAATTTATCACATATTACACAACAAGCATGCAGAGGTTGCACAATAATCGAACAGTCTTAATTCAAATTTGTCCGAAGGAGTTGCGACATTGACTTTGATTTGGGTTTTTTTTTGTTATAATTTCCGATATAACATTAAGTTCTGCAAAAAGGTACAAGGGCTGGCATGACGGATAGTTCATCATTTACCTGGTATCCTGTTCTGCCTTCTTATGTAATTATACATATTTGTTTGAGAAATACGACATAATTCTAGTTATATTAGGCAAACATCTTTATCTTATGTGTAACAAAAAAAAAACCTTGTGTTCAATTTTATTTGTCAAATGCGCGTTTTTCATTTGAAGTCAATAGTATGGAGTTGGATAGTCATCGATTGTGTATATCTACTAGTGACGTGACAGTGTCATCAGGTTTAAGCTTATATTTTCACAAATGTACATTACAACAAAATTTACTTAACGAATTCTAAAATATGTGTTTAATGATGCTATTACACAATGTTACGTAAACTTATATGGTCAAATAACAACAATATTGATTTATGGATAATTTTATTGACAACAGCCTTTTAAGGAAATAATTTATCACGTTACCGGTAATCAAATGCACCAATCATTACTTGGTCATTTCACTTGATTCATATATAAAGTTCTCAAAAGGTGAATTCTTAAAACTACTATATCAAAATTAAGTTTGAAAAATAAAAATAAAGACATCTGAAGCTTTATGATATTTTAATTTTTGATTTATAGTAGTATATGGTTTAAAACAGGAGTTTCAAACACGCCGGAATGTAAAGGGTGTACACGACTTACTTCTTTTTTAGCATATATAGCTGACTATGTGGTATTTGTTATATATACCTATAGTTGCTGATTTCTATGTCATTTGGGATCTGGTGGAGAGTTGTCTTATTGGCAATCGTACTACATCATCTTTTTTGTATATTCTATAATATCTATATAATTATCTGTTATTACTTTGTCCTCATTCCGTAGAATTTTATCAAATGGAATTTATCAGGATGCATCTTCAAGAAAACAAGAAAAAATCTATTACACTTTACTTCTTGTTTTTCATCATAATTATGCATGGGTTCCAGGAAGAGTCTGTATGTGTTTTTAACGTCATTGCTCACAAATTAGTTTTATGAAATCTTTGCAGTTTAATTCATATGGATACTTCTAAACAGGAACATGTATGGACTATTTGATTGCAGTTGTGCTAAGTAGGACTCTTTTAGTTGTATGACAAACCTATGATAGCAAGGGAATATTATACAACAAGGACAATGTATCCCGGATTTGATATGTCTTCCTGTCGACTGTTACCTTGTAAACAAGGACGTTACAAAATTTGGATCAGCGTGTCAGTCTAGTATAAAGTCAGGTTCATAGTCCTTTTCTCGTTCTGAATATACATAATCAAACGACATATCCAAAGACTTATGATCCACATTCTGCTGTTACTTATATTTAAGCGTTACGCAAAGTCGTGATTTTCTACACTGCACTGGGAATAACAATATTGAAAAGTAAAAACAATAGCATGCCGACTGTATAAAGCATCGAAATCTTATTATTTTATTGTCTTCTATGTTTCGTACTTATGACACATGCGATTCAATGATTTATGCGGTAAAAAAAAATCGATGACCCCCTATAAATTGTTGATCAATAAAATGAATAAAATACTTAAAGTTAATGTACTTCTAGGGATGTAAACTATTTTGCCCAAAAAAGTCTTTTTTATTTGGACTCGTGTTGCATTTTAAAATGTCATTCCCGTTAAACAAAACAACACATAACAATCCTTAATCGAGCACGACTTCTAAAATACAACCTATATAGGGCTTTTCTTATCATACATTTTATGATAAATGGAGAACTTTCATTAAGAAATTAAAAGAAACGATAGTTTTATCTCAATTTTCAACTTTCATCATTCGACAAATTCTAACAAACACTGATTTCGACATTTCTGAAAAATTTCCTCTAAAAAATTTGTTTCGCGATAAAGAATATATAGATAGATAGATGGATTAAGAAAGAAAGAAAAAAAGAAAGAAAGAAAGAAAAAAAAAGAAAGAAAGAAAGAACGAACGACAGACAGACAGACAGATTATCCGATTACAAACAAATAAGCATGTAAAATATAGAATAATGGAGCGGTCATCTGCAAAGTATATTGAAAAAAAATTATTTTCATAATCAAAACCATGAAAGATAATTCAAATTGATCGTGTAATAGATAAGGGGATGTCGTGTGTTAATATGTGATCAGTGAAAATTAAGCCGGGATCTGGAGAATCACGTGATGAATAAAAATGAATGATAGCTATCATTTTTCATCATGTTTAAGTTATTTAATGTGGACGAAAATTTAGTATGATTTCAAAAGTCTTGGAATACTTTGCTTAAACTTGAGCGACGCATTAACCAAAATGCATAGATTGGCAATAACCGTTCCCATTAGGTACGTACTTAAAGTTACGTACATATTTCATTTTATTGGAAACCTCTAGTAAACATTTTTAATCAGACAATCTCCTAGGCGCCTGACATTGTATGAAAAAATCACCGTTAATAATATGGGGACAAAGTTGTGAATAAAATCAATAAAATGAAGAAAAAACAAGAACGTGTCCATAGTTCACGGATGCCCCACTCGCACTATCATTTTCTATGTTCAGTGGACCGTGAAATTTGGGTAACAACTCTTAATCCGGCATTAAAATTAGATCATATCATAGGGAACATGTGTACTAAGTTTCAAGTTGATTGGACTTCCACTTCATCAAAAACTACCTTGACCAAAAACTTTAACCTGAAGCCGGACAGACGGACGAACGGACGGACGGACGAACAGACGCACAGGCCGAAAAACATAATGCCCCTCTACTATCGTAGGGTTGGCATCAAAATCAATATACTTATGAACTCAAAATCGTTAACTTTTTTTTTCTAACTTTTTCAGTTCCCACATTTGTGCCGAAATCTCTTTCTTTCTTGCGATCTCGTTTGTCACGGGAATTTGAGTAAAATATAGGAAGGAGAACATTTATTGTGTTTGATTACCGAAAGAATACTGCCAGTTAATAAATTAAAGTAATGATTTAAATAATTTAAAAATGAGTCTGGAGCTTATTCAACATACGATTCTATAGCAAACAAAATGTGTTATCTTGGGAAACTCACCTGATCAAGTCAGATTTCAGTATTTGATAAGAATAACAAGGCGAATTGGTATCTTCGTCGTTTAAAAATATAAATTATAACAATTTTATTTAATAATTCTTAAAAAAACGTTACATGGTGATAGCGTTTTTTCTTACGTTGAAAATGACGTCACAACTGAAATTTCTAACAACAGGACCAACATCGGAAACGTTTCCGTATTTCCGTTTATTTTGCAAGAGATTCTGAAGTTAAAATATGCTTGAATTGAAAAAATAATGTATACT